TATTCTCTCCATGTATGTTAAAAGTTAGAAAATTTCCATAATAAAAAGGCAAATAAACTGCCTGAACTAGCTCTCTCAAACCCTTTAAATGCTAGCTGTAAACCTGTCCCATGCCTACATGGATTTCCCCCTTTTCTGAACCCCTATAGAATTCTACCTGTATTACCCATTTTTCTCAATTATTATCTATGCTCACTGTGGCCAGATACTCTTCCTAATGCATGACATAAACACCAGATCTCAGCCTCAAAGAATCACTGCGTAGTAGAAGGCAGGGAGGCAAGTTTCTGTAAATAATTCCAGTTGTTCCTTTGCTTAAAAATGTTCACTGGTTTACCATTGCATGAATAACACCAAACTTCTTTACTAGACTATAAAGGAGATTGAATTAGAATGCTAATTCAATCTCCTTTATAATCTAGTCCCAAGTGCCCCGTGGTCCAAATATGCCTACCTTCCAATTCCTAGACCCACTAAGCATATTCCTCAATGTGCCTTTCCTTATGCCATTTCATAAGCCTGGAAAACTGTATCATAACCCTCCTATAGCTCTAAACCCCAATAATCCTTTCAAGGTACCATTTAACTTCTACTTTCTCCACGATGTGTTACTAGTCCGTACACTCTCTGTCTCCAAAATATACTATTCCTTTAGCATTTAAAAATGTAACTCTCTGTATCGTCTCATAGCCTCTAAAATTGTCAATACAATGCCTTGCCGACAGAAAGTGCACATGAATTGTTTTATTACCAATTTACTTAATTGCCTTGGGTATCTAAAATGACTGATCCATGAATGAGGATAGAGTATCTTCCAGAACTGGTCTCCTAATCCCAGTCTGAAGAGTTTTCTATTAGTTTGTAGTCCTGAATCAACCACTTTCAGCTGCTCAATTCCCAGTAGCATTAGGGTATAAAAGTAGAATTGGCTGGGCGCGGTGGCTCATGCCTATAATCTCAGCACTTTAGGAGGCTGAGGTGAGAGGACTGGCTTCGAGACCAGCCTAGGCAACTTGGTGAGACCTCATCTTTACAAAAATAATTTTTTTTTAAAGTAGAATTGAAGGGCTTAGGTAACTTCTCTTTGGATCTGCAATGTTCTATTCCGAGTCCAAAGAAAAACAAAAGCCACTCAAAAACCCAAACGAACGAAAGAACGCAGGGAAGCCAAAGATGCCTATAACTATGAAGCACTGAGATCAGTGTGATAGCTCTGAGGGGGTTTATCTAATCACTTCTGATCTGAGGTCTCTAGTTTTAAAAAGAACCAACTCCTGTCTCAAAAATGAATTGTTATGAGTGTTAAATTGAAGATGTATTCCTAAATATCTCAAAAATTTTCTCCCATTTTGGAATGCCACAGGAAAAGAAGGAAACCACTGTCCTCTCAGGTAATAAATCGTTGGGTAAAGAGTAGTTCCAAATATCTAATAAAGAAAGCACTACTGTTGTACTTACCTACCATATTCTGGTTTAAGTATCTGCTTATGAAGTTGTCTCTCTAATCAAAACATGAACTCCTCTAGAGTAGGGACTCAAGAACTGGTTATCCTGTCTCACTCATCTTTGCACATCCTAAATCTAACAGCCTGGCACACTGAGGGACTCAACAAAGGTTCTCTCAATTAACGAATTCTACCTTAGGTTAAAACATAGTCAACAGCCTGTTAAAAAGTAATGAAAAGAGGTTAAATAATATATTCTATCAACTGTCTGCTAAAAAGTAATAGAATGTAGAAGTCACATGCATTTTATATTCAAGCAGACCAAGCACAATCTACTGGCTACTGGCATTTTCTTTTCTCAGAACTTTTCCACAGATGATATAAAACGTCCTAAGAAATTATCCCATTTACCCTAGTCTTATTAGTCTTTTCCACTTTTTAGATGGGGCTAAAAACATGAGGAAAATTGTCTCTTGCTGCTATATCAGATCCTTCTCCACTGTTCCTGGTTTTCAAATTACCACTAACCCACAGAAAAAAAAAAATACAGAATCAGTGAGAAAACGAGTATCAAAGAATTGGCACTTCAGGATCAGAGTGAGGTAGGGTACACATGTATTTAATTTGCCCAACATTCATGAAGAATCACTATGGAAATTAACAGTCACCACAAAAAGGTAAAAGTACTGCACACAAAGTGACAAAATCTATCACTATGAATGTATATAAAGTTAACGCTATTTGAAATCATTTTCTGGTATGAAATTGTTTTTTTATGAAATGTATTTTTTGTTTTTTTTTTTTGAGTTGGAGTCTCACTCTGTCACTCAGGCTAGAGTGAAGTGGCACGCTCACCACCACGGCCACAGCAGCCTCCAACTGCTGGGCTCAGGCAATCCTTCCACCTCAGCCTTCCAAGTAGCTGGAACTACATGCATGTGCCACCACACCCAGCTAATTTTTTGATTTATTGTAGAGACGATGTCTTGCAAAGTTGCCCAAGTTGATCTCAAACTCCTGGGTTCAGGCAATCCTATCCCCTCTGCCTCCCAAAGTCCTGGGATTACAGGCATGAGCCACCACACTTGGTTTATGTATTTTTTTTAAGTCATACATACTAAATACTGATACTGGGGAGGGTGGAAGCAACTTAAAATTAGCAGACCATTTGCCAAAAAAGAAAGCATGAACACCTCTCACATACAAGGCTATTAAGATGATAGTAGTGATAAAGGGAACATTCATCTGAAAATAGCTCAAAGGTACTCAAGTGAAATACTGTTCACAGTTTATTAGGGAAAAATGGTGACAAAAATATAAGCTATTTATATTATAGTTTGCTCATCTACTCTATCTCCAGATGGATAGAAGGCAGCTTTACAAAACATAAGGGAAACAGTACCAGTACTCATCTCTCCAATGACATAAAAATTTATGAAATACCCCAATTTGACTTAAATATACAAGCTTATCAATAATCTGTACAGCCTTAAACTGATAAATAAAATGCTCAAAACAGAAACAAAAAATCGAACAAGTCTAAACAAGCAGTCATACTTTTTAACCCTTCAACTTCTAGTTCTGATTTCAAAGAATTCCCAATAGTAACATGGTTAGTTCAGCAGTAATTTGTTCTCTTGAAACAAGCATTCTTCAAAAGAATGATATTTTTTAAAGCAATGCTGTCATTTGACCCAACGACCTATCTCTAACGATAATCAAGAACAAATAAAAACACTTATAAGAATGTTTACAGAAATGTTTATCATACTGAAAAACTGAAAGTAACATAAAATTCCATTAGAAGTGTATGTAGCTATTGAAATCAAAAAGCTACAATTAATGGCATTAAAGATAATATTTATTAAGCTAAAAAACAGGTTATAGAACAACATATAAAATTGCATACGTATATCTGTATGCAAAATTCAGAAATATCTTTGGAAGTATTATCTCTGAGTACTGGGATTTTGCAAGATTTTTATACTTCTAAAAAGAATCACAATGATCTTGTATGCTTTTTTAACAACCCTTTTTTAAAAAACTCATACTCTCCTAAGTAAATCAAATCTGCTCAGTAACTAGGTAGTGCTCATAACTGTGTGGTTTAACCTTGTGATAGTGCCATCAGACACTATCACAATTGCAAATGCACATTCACTTTGATTCTGCAATTTCAAATATGGGAATTTGTACTACAGTTATTCTCACACAAGTGTGTAAAGACATTTTTGTTCAAGAATGTTCACAGCAGTATTTATTTATATTAGCAAAATACCCAATGTAATCTAAATGTCCATTAATAAAGATTAGATTATGTATATTCATACAGTGAAATACTGTACTGTATAGCTATGAAACAGAATGAGGTAACTGCGTGTTGGAGGTGAATGACATTCAAGATAAATTAAGGTTAAAAAAAGAGAACAGTATGCATTAACCAACAATGAGGGGAAAGAGGGAGTAAGAGAGGGAGAGTTACACAGACAAGTATGCTTGTATTTGCATAGCCTATTTCTAAAAGAATACACAAAAAAAGTGTAGAGGTTGCTTGTGGGTTGGGGGTCTAGAAAATAGGGACACTAACACTTATTTTTTATTGTAAACCAATTTTTATTGAATCTTCTAAACATGTCTCAATGTTACTTTTAAATTTAGTAATTTTTTTAAAATTAGGTAGTGAATTACCTTGCTGTTCTAAAAATAGAACAATATGGTTTTCAAGTATCAAAATAATGCTAGGAAGACAGCTGCTTTTAAGGGTTTTAAAATTCTAAACTATGATTGGCTGCTTTTAGTTTATTACAATCAATGAAAATTATATACAATTGTAAAAACCTGGACAAAGGTGTTTACACTGTTGCTCGCCAACAAATCCACATCTGTTTAACCTAGTCTTTGTTTTGCACTCTCAGTATTGAAGCAGTTTAAAAAATCAGTTTTATTTCCTGCTATATTTAATACATGTTCTATTTTACAAAAAAAAAATTTCTGTTGGCCACAAGTATGTAATAAGAGAAGAGATTTTCTCCTTTTCCACTTATATTAATCCTTCCAGGTCAGTTTGGTCTAGCCATCTCTGACAGTGAAATGCCTACTTAGAATCTAGAATAAACAAGACGATGACTCACTAAATATTAAAGTTTCTACTCCAAGATTGTTCTAAAAAATAAATTTGAAAAAGGCTAAAAAAAGTATTACATTTAACTATATTCCCAAACAGATTAAATATAAGGCTAAAGCCTCAGATCAACAACTATTAACTTTAAATACTCGGTATCTTTGGGGAACCCACTTCCCAGGAATTGAAAGTGTCTCCAAATAAAAAAAAAAAGGGAGAAAATCCTGCTTAACATACTGGCAAGAGCCTTTTATCACACTATTTCAACGTATTATCAAATACCAGAGAAACACTAAACAAGGTTAGACTGGAAGAGTTGCCTAATCAAAACAGGTCTGTTGGCTTACTCAACACCAGTGCTTATAATCATGTATCAAACTTCCTGAAAATAAATGGCAGACACTTAAAAAATTAAAAAATGAAGCTGAACTCACCTTTAACACTTTTTCTATTAACATCTGCCCCCTTTTCAAGTAAATACTGAGCAATCTCCTTATGACCTTTGTAACATGAAATCATCAAGCACGTATGCCCATGTCGGTTTGAAACTTCCAAATCAGCTTTGTGTTCTACAAGGTACTTCACTATTTCCAAGTGGCCATCAAAACACGCAGCGCGAAGAGGAGTTGAATTGGTTAAAGTCGTGTTGTTGACAGATGCTCCATGATTTAACAAAGACTGGACTACCTTCAGATGTCCTGCTGCAGAAGCGGCCCATAAAGGGGGGGCCCCCTCAATGGTTTCGCCATCAAAATTGACGGAGCCCCCGACTTCTATGGAGGCACTACATTGCTCTAGGAGGAATTCCACCATGTCAAGGTGCCCATACCTGGCGGCCATCAAGAGTGGCGTGGCCCCGTTTGTTTTTTCAGAGATCAAGGAGGAAACCTCCTCTTTGGATTTGCTTGCCAACAACTTGGTGAGAAGCCGGAGTTTGCCATCCCGAGCTGCATTAAATACTGCTGTCTTTAGATCCATTTATGTCCAGTTGAGAGGCTGTGCTTTATTTATCCTTCAAAGCAGAGATCCAGCTTAACTCTATCGACACAGGCAAGAGTTACAGGAACCAAAGTTCAATGTTAATCGCTGCACCCCAGAACAGATAGAAAACCACGGAGAGTATGTTCTGTTCTACGACCTTCCAACATGTGACAACCAGAGCACCAAACTAGAGAAAGAAAGAAAAAAGCGGTTTTGAATTTTCTACAGGTAAGGGCAAAATAAGTTTTCTTAATTTCCACTTCTGTGAAAAGAAGGGGGGGAGGAAGTTATACTTTAGGGATTACTTCGTCCCCTGCACCCTTTCCCCTCCAAAAGGTGGTAAAGGAAAACACAGGGGGGTCCACGCTGAGACTTGGTAGGAGGCAGTCTCTTGCCCGCGTGCGGAACATTTGAACACTGCCGGCAACCGGATTTTCGCCTCCAGCTCTAACCAGCCCAGCTTTGTTCTAGTTTTGCTTTGCACACGCCCAGGGAGAGTACAACAGAGGCAGAAGACGCGCGTTCAGAAATGTTTCTCTCTTGCATCTGCGGGCGAGTCGGCCAAGGGCGCGAGGCTGGAAGGCCTCATGGAGGCCGGGAGCGCTTTCGAGAAGGAACAAAAAGGTCGGACACACCAAACCTCGGCCAGCGAAGGCCAAACCCCGCACCCGAAAGGTTCTCTGTCCCCGAGAACGACCGGAGGCTCTCAGCAAGTCCGCCAGCCTTTTAAGCCACTAACTTCGCCCGTCCAATTTCGCTCCCCTCCCGCCCCCCGCGCCAAGGGATCCGCAGGTTCCTCAAACCACGGTCGCCCCTACAGAAGCTTCGCCTCAACTCGTTCGAGACCCCGGCAGCCCCTCCCCACGCTCCTCGACCAACCCCGGGCCCGCCC